ACCCTGCTGATGAGACGCAGTCACTGTACGTGTATGTCAAAGCCAGTCCACAGTTGACTTCTACAGAATCAATGCTACATCATGGGACCCCCTTTTGCAAGTACCAAAATATGAGAATAGGTTTGCCCCCTTTTGGCGTCCTCTGGTCTAACACCGTTTGAGACGAGGCTCAAAAGAAAGCCGTCTCTGGTATGGACCAATCAGTTTCAAGGACAATGCATCATATTATCAGAGTGTGTTTTTTGTTTGTCTTATGATCACAAGTATCGTGGTTAATTGCAGACATGATTCCTTGTCAAAAGGTTTCAGTTTGGTGTTTTAACAACTTAACACAGCTGTTTTGTTGCCAGAAAAAAGGGCGAAATCTATTCTCAGAATCAATGCTTTTTTTAAAATATGCACTCCCATGAGGGCGTACGATGGCTATGGGTCGCGAGACCTATCGTCTGCTTAGCTTTCTCTAACTTGCAAAGATCATAATCCTCCTCGTTGCGTGCTCACTTACACCACAGTGGCTAATGAGGAGGACGGTGGGGTGGGGGGTGGTGCTCTGGGCTGGTTCGAGATGTAATTTCCAAGTTACCTGGAACAAACTTTAAAAAAAAAACGAATGTAAAGAATGTTCCGGAGACCCCGAGGGGACAGGACAGGCCAGAGGACTGAAACCCTCTCCGGTCGGGTAGCCGCCAGGAACAACAGATAATTGTTCATGAAAGCTCACTGGGGGGGGGGGGAAGAGGCTGCCATTCCTTTGTTGGGAGCTAGTCCGGTTACCACCTGGGCCCCTGTGGAATACAGGAGGCCCTAGCGGACCGGTTCTGGGGCTGCCGTCACTTTGACGGGGGGGGGACGGGGGGGCGGAGATCGGTTAACAGTCCTCCACTCTGGGGCAGGATAATAACAATCAACATGGAGGGGCTCTTCATCTGAATCAAATAATGACGGGTGATGTGGGAGCGCATTGGTGCGGTGTGGGAGGCTGCGAGTCCCCGGGCCTCCGTGGTCTCGCCTGCCGATCGACAGCAGGCGAGGCTGCCTGTGCTTGCTGGCGGGGGCAAGGCTGATGAGTCAGAGATGTCTTCTATGACCTCCTGCCCCAGGTGTTGGCTAAAGTGCCCCCCCCCCGGCCCCTAATTTTGGATACGAGTCTTCTTATTGGGTGACTTGAACAAACACGAATGGGTCGTAATAACACTTTGGCAGGAGTTATTGGTCCGGATGGACCAGATCAGCTAAAAAAAACAACAACGGCAGAAGAATGCTAGATTTAGGTGTCACGGTGGCTAGGAGATGTTAACTACCTCGCCTAGTATACAGGAGGTCGTGGGTTCGATCCCGACCCTGACGCCTGTAGATGTGGAGTTTGCGTGTTCTCCCCGTGGTCGTGTGGATTTTCCCCTGGGTCCTCCTGTTTTCCCCTCCGCATTTAGAAACAACATGCGTGCGGAGTGTTTGACTGCTATAAACTTCCACACGATGATAAATAAGCCACTTCTTTGAGCTATAATTTGTGGCCAGGTCACTTCCGAAAAAGAGCTATACAGGTCAATGGGCTTTAACCTGGTAAAAAAATAAATACAGTTCAAATTAAATAGTATGCAGCCCATGGTCTTGTAATCACCAAGTCGCTCTTCCGCCGTCGGCGCATCCACATCCGGCTCATCTTCTCGTGCACGCTGGGCCAAAACAAGGACCCCTGGCTGTACTGTGTCGTGGCTGAGCAGAGAATGCGGGCCCCATGTCCTTCACACCCAGCAACCACCGTCCGTGGAGCTGGTCTGTCCACGGGCAACGTCGGTGGCCCACCACAATGGCAACTCGCCCTTCAACGCAACTCACTCAATAGGCGACTTGCAGCACCACCCCCCCTAATCGCTGTCCTCATTACGGGTAACGAAATGGCCCTCTCTGATCTCCGACCTCAAAAGGTGCGGTCTGCAGATTTTTTTTGTAGTTTGCCGAGCATTTCTGTGAGGTCTTGCAGAAGGGTGGAACCCCCTAAGCCCAAACAACATCGTGGGGCAATTGGGGGTGGGAGGCCGAGCTACGATGGTTGTGGAGCCTCAAAATGATGAAGTAGCCACCACCACCACCCCACCTGCGAGTGGCTGGCCAATGTCGCTGTTCCGCCAACAAAGTGACGTGACGTTCTCCGGGTCCCCGAAGGAGGAAAAAAAAAACCGAACGGATTGTGTGACCACATATTTCGAGCAGGATTTTATGGCGCTTGCAATGGATTTGACAAAAAAAAATACGGGAGGCTGGCTGATCGATAACCCGTTGAGGACAGCTCGCTGCCGGCTGACCACGGTGTATATGTTGATGACTTGGTAATTGCTGGTCACTCGGAGAAGGGGGAAATTGTGGGGACCTTCTGTGGAAACAAACCAGCCTTCGCCAAACCAAGGCACCTGGGCACTGTGTCATCAAAAACTCCACCCCCACAACTCTCCAATGAGTAATGGATGGGGCAGTTGTGGAGAGAGTGGAGGAGTTTACATATTTGGGCAGTGTGCTCATGCCCCAGCTCCGGTTTGGCAGTGGAGGTCTCACTTCGAATCAGTCGAGTGCCATTATCTTTTCGTCAGATGCGTAATGCTGTCCGGAAGCTGCATAGCCAGTCACTTGAAGTTTCGGGACTTCTTAGTTAATAATATTCATGACCTCTCGTAAAGGACGCCACTGATCCGTTGGAGGCAGTCGCCCTCCAGCAACAGCGGCGGGCGGAGAAGCGACGCTCACAACAACGAGCGGAGCGCCGGGAGAATAAAACGCAGCAATGTGGCATAGTGGGGAGCACAGGTGGTGCATCTGCCAGTCATCTCAGTCAGTCAACCCATAGCACCTGAGTCTGTTCCATGACCTCATGCCAGCGAGACATCCCCACTTCACGCACATAGTCTCAAGATGCACATAGCCTGGCACAAGCGCCGTGGGTGACATCAGCTTCTGTTAGTGTTGCGTATCATAATTCTAACAAAAATGTTTCGCGTCGAACTAAGACACGCGTGGTAAAGACAGGTTTCTTGCCTATAAGAGCCGCCAAGTCACCAGCTTTGATTCAAGCAAAGGCAGACGCTGCTGCCGATGAAACACTGCGTGTCAAAACCGGTCCAGAGCTGGCCGCTTGTATCGCATCAAATGCTGCCGTGCGGTGACGCAGTGGGTGAGTGAATAAAAAAACCCCAGTGACCTGTGTCCCAATCCCGGGTGCCACGGATAACATCAGTGGCGAGCTGTTAACTACCTCGCCTGGTATGCAGGAAGGATTCGTGGGTTCGATCAACCCCTGACGCCTACTGCATATTTTGGAGTGTGCGTCTCTCTCCGTGGTCGCGCGGATTTTTCTCCGGTTGCTCCGGTTTTTCCCCTCCACAATTAGAATCAACATCACGCGTCTAGAGTATTTGGCTGCTATAAATGTCCACGTGATGATAAGCCACTTCGTTGAGCTATCATTTGTGGCCAGTTCGCTTCTGAAAAATAACGGTACAGCCCAATGGGCCTTACCTGGTAAAATAAAAAAAACATAGTTTATAGTTGTATAGAGTGATGTCCTAACCGGTCCCAATCATAGATTAACCTCCACCACACATCATGGCCACTTTCCTTCGCCAGCTCACATTGACGAGCGCGGAGAAGTATGGCCAAACAACAAAAACAACCCCCACGACCGGCACGGCCTTTATCCAGCAGTGGAGTGACAAAGGGGGCATCACGTTGCGTTTGTGTAGAGCGTGGTGCGTCAAAGGGGCTTTGTCGAGACACAAAAAGCAAACGAAATGTTGTACGATGGGTATCAGCAGAGTGAGAGAATAAAAAACAGAAGCCCCGGTGATTGATATCTGAGCGCCGAATAGTCGACAGAGAGGGAGTCTCATCCAGCTGTGGATCGATAATGACCGATGATGATGATGTTGGTGGTGGTGTTGTTCAGATGGTCATAATGATAATGCTGATGAAAATGATGAAAATTAAGATGTGATGTTGATGCTGCAGAGTATGTCATTGCTGCTAATGATGATGCTGCTGCAAATGATGATATCATCACTGCAGTTGATGATGCTACCATCACTGCTGATGATGCCGATCATCACTGCTGATGATGCTGATCATCACTGCTGATGATGCTGATCATCTGATGATGATGATACCATCACCATCATATACTACCATCATCAGCAGCAATGACATAATTTGCAGTATCAACATCATCATAAAATAAAATTTCATAATTATCATCACTGCTGCTGATGATGCTGCTATCATCATCAGATGCTAACATCATCATCAGATGCTAACATCATCATCACATGCTAACATCATCATCAGATGCTAACATCATCATCAGCAGCAATGACATCATTTGCAGCATCAACATCAGCATAAAATTAATTTTCATCATTCGCATCACTGCCGCTTATCATGATGCAACTCATGATGTAATATCATTGCTGCTTCGGATGATGGAGATGCTACTAATGATGATAATGATGCTGCTCCTGCTGCGAATGATACAACCGCTGCTGCTGATGATGTTTCACACTGCCCTCTACCGCTGGGACAGAAGTTTCTGCCGACGGCGATGTCGCTGCTATTACTGCTGCTGATGAGCAATCTATAGAGGATGATGCTACTGATGGATGTGTGTAACAGTCTTGCTGCTCATTGAGCTGATGATGATGATTATGACGTTACACACGAGAATAACACCACTGCTGCATGATACTAATGATGATGCCGCTGCTGATGCTGCCGACGACTTATGGTGCTGCTGATGATGCCGATTCCGCGACTGCGACTGTTGATGATTGTAACGACGATTCCGATGCGGTTAAGTGTGATGCGTGTTACAAAGTCAGACTAATTGAGACCATCACACTGGCAATGCTGCTACGACTATGATCACGACACCGCTGCTGATGATGATGATCATGATGATGATGATCATCATCATCATAACTCCGATCCCATTGAAACTCGCTCTCAGCCACACTCACCTTGGCGCCGATGAAGCACACGTGACAGAGCGCGATCAGCAGCTGGGTCCGCAGATCCATGGCGAGACGTGGCCACCGCTCTCGCGCGCTCTTCGTCTCGCGAACTCCTCCGTTCGACTCGTCTCGGATTCTCTCTCCGAAAACCTTACAGACCTCCTTCTCCTCCTCCTCCTCCTCCCTGGGACGTGTGTCTCATGGCGTCTCCGCCAGCCACGTCTTATCTTCTTATCGTTCCGGATCAGAATTTTTTTTTTAAAAAAATCGGAGCGGAGTGTTCAATCGGAGCGCTTTCGAATAGGAACGCTCGGGATGAACGATGGTTGATGATGGTGATGATGGTTCAAGCTGAACCTTCGGGGTCAGGCGAGTCCAGGAGATTTAAATCGGCGTCTTATCGCGCGTTGCTTTCAGACCAGCAACAGTCGAGCGTTCTCAATCCGAGCACTTGACGTTGCCGGGGACGAGTCCAGAGACGTTCACTCGTTGTTGTTGTCGTTGTTGTTGTTCTCCGCCTCTGCGCGACTCTTACTTCGATCTCAATGGGAAACGCTCGGATCTTAATGTGGTCGCTTCCACTCGAACCGCAAAAAGTGAGACTCTCCCCTCTCTCTCTCTACGTATATCTGTTGTCGGCAGCTTTGCTTTTTTTGTGTGGTGGCGGTGAAACAAAAAAAATTGAAACGCTCCCCAAACAAAAAGAGATGCCGCTGATGCCGACTCGATCCTTCACTGCGCCGTATCACAGCCCCGACTCACACAGAGGGGGAAACACGAGGCGCCTCGACACCACCACCACCAACTCCTCCTCCTTCCTCGCTACTCCAACTCAGTCCCACCCCCCCCCCTCTCTCCAACCCCGCGCGCTCGACAAATCTCGTGACGAAAGTTGGAGGCGAGAATCAAATCCTTTTCACGGCAGCCTCGACAAACCCCCTCCAACTACCCCCCCCCCCCCCCTCGGCTCGCCACCCACCACCGCTGCTTCGGTGGCACCAAACGAACGAGGCCACCAGCCCAGCGAGTGCGCCTACGAGGCTCGTCGCTGCAATGCACAAACTACTCGGCGAGGCGTGCGCGGCCGTCTCCCAACGCACCTCCTCCTCCTCCTCCACCACCAGCGAAAAACGAGAATCAGCGCACTTGCTGGATGGGGCTTCTCCCCGACTCTGTAATTTGCTGGCGGCTGCTGCAGCGCGCCGTCGGTCGTTCACGCGATACAACGAAAAGTGCTTCTGTGATCACCACGCCACGCTCACGCTTCCCTTCCTCCTCCTCCTCCTCCTCGGTCGTCTTCGATGCCACGACGAGGATCCACGAACATCAACAGTGCTGCGGATTACTACCAAGCAGCGCAGGCAGTCACCAACACCACGAGCAGCAGCGGCAGCAGCAGCTGCAGCAGCTCCTCCTGCCGACCAGCTGAGACGTTCGCCAAAATGAGCGTTGCTCGCCCAAACGTCTGCCGCTTTAACATTGGCGGCGTGGGTGTGTGAGTTGAGTTACAACGGCAGCGAGGAGATTCGTCGTCTGGCCTTGCCCATCCCCTCTGCGTGCGCGTGTGGATGTGTGTATGCGCGCGCGTGTGTGTATGTGTGTCTGTCGCAAGTGGGGTGCTCGAGTGTACGATACACTCGTGTGTGTGTATGTGTGTGCGTGTCTGTGTGTGTGTGTATGTGTGCGTGTCTGTGTGCGCGCGTGTGTGGGTGGGTGTTGAGAGTCTGCGCGTACGTTCCCCCACCCCTCGTGTTTGCTACTTCGCGCGCGCGTCTGCTCGCTCGCTAACAGCACTTGCCCCCCCCCGCCACGCAGTCCGTCAAGGCTATACGGGGGATCTTTGTCTTTGTTGTCAGCGTTACGCTGCGCTCAGAGTTCTATCCAGCCGTGCAACGAACTCTCTCTCACACGCACGCACGCGCACTCAGATCTCTCTTCGTGTTTGCATAATGTCTGATTTACTAAGCCACCGTGCAGGTTGATACTATCCGGGCCCCTAGCGGCAATGTGGTTCGGCAGCAGGATCTGTGATGCTGGAGAGGGGCTTCGGGACGGAGAGGAGGAGTTGGTGGAGTTTCGCTATTCGCCGTCTCTCCTGTGGAAGGGGCGCGCAGATGACAGTGAGTCGACTCGGCTACCATTTATAGCGCGTGAGCGGAGATGGGAGGAGGAGGGGGAGGGAGGGGGGTGGTGATTGTGATGGGGAGGGTGGGTGGAGGGGGAGGGAGGGGGTTGTGATTGTGATGGGGAGTGGGGGGGGTGTGATTGTGATGGGGAGGGTGGGTGGAGGGTGAGGGAGGGAGGGGGTTGTGATTGTAATGGGGAGGGTGGGTGGAGGGAGGTGGTGTTGATTGTGATGGGGAAGGTGGGTGGAAGGGGAGGGAGGGGGGTGGTGATTGTGATGGGGAGGGTGGGCGGTGGTGGGGAGGGGAGAAGGGAGGGCGAGTCTAGAGTCCAAGTAGAGGGGAGGAGGAAGGTTGAGCGAGTGAGAGGTGGGAGGGAGGGGTGGATGTGGTGGTGGATAGAGGGATAGTGGTGGTGGTATGGGGAGCGGTGGTGGAGCGGTTAGCGCGCTGCGCTACCAACGTGTCCACCCGGGTTCGATTCGCGCTCACGGCCAACACCGGCGACGATTGTCTGAACCGGTCCTGGGTCTCCCCCTTAGGTCGACGCAGGCTCCCCTAGATCGACTCAGCCTCAAATGAGTACCTGGTTCAGTGTGTAGAACATCGCCACTGGGGAGACAAAGGCGGTCAGGCGTGGTGCTGGCCACCCACCCCTTCGTGTGCCGTGCCGGCCTTCATAGTTGCTCACTAAAACCATTTGACTGAACAGCCTGTTACAGGCTATACGAGGGATATTTGCCTTTGTTGTTGGTGGTGGTGTGTGTGTGTGTGGAATGAGGAGTTAAGATTAGTGGTTGAGTGATCGTTGAGTATATACAGTACGGATTTTTCCAAAGTCATTGATTGCCTGCGGCCAGCAACAATCAGCACTATTGAAGGTGCAAGCGATAAGGGTTAACGCAACCATGAACCCTTCAACACCTGCTGCTGCTGCTCCCCAAACGAACGTTCACGCGGCGCTCACCTACCGTGTACAGCCCTGAGCCAACGGGTGGCAATTCCACATTACTATGGCAGGCGGTGGAATTTTGCGAGGGGCAACTTGACGACTGATGACAATGGAGGTTCATGTGAAACCCAACGTTTGACCGGATTCTCTGGATTATAAGACGCTCTGAAAAGTAAAAATGGTTTTAGGCTAAACTCAAAACTATAACTATACTATATACACTACTTTACACTACTATACACTACACTACTATACACTACACTACTATACACTACACTACTATGCACTACTTTACACTACTATACACCGCACTACTATACACCACACTACTTTACACAATACACTACTATACACTACGCTATACACTATAATACACTACATTATACACTACTATACACTACACTACTATACACTACTATACGATACACTACTATACACTACACTCTATACTACTATACACTACTTTACACTACTATACACTACACTACTATACACTACACTGCACTACTATACACCATACACTACTATACACTACGCTATACACTACAATACACTACACTATACACTACACTACTATACGATACACTACTATACACTGCACTATATACTACACTACTATACACTACTTTACACTACTATATACTACACTACTATACACCATACGCTACTATACACTACACTATACACTACACTATACACTACTATACACTACACTACTATACACTACCATACACTACACTACTATACACTACACTATATACTACTATACACTACATTATACACTACTATACACTACACTACTATACACCATGCACTACTATACACTACGCTATACACTACACTATACACTACATTACACTATACACTACACTATACACTACTATACACTACACTACTATACACTACACTATACACTACACTATACACTACACAACAATATACACTACACTATACACTACACTACACACTGGGCTCTATGGAGCCGTCGTCGTTTCGTGATTAGTCGTTTATAGGGGTGTTTACCAGGTAAGGCCCCACTGAGCTACGCAACTCTTGTTCAGAAGCGACCTTGGTGATCACAAGTGATAGGTCAACAAAATTGGCGGCTCATCATCATCGTGTGGACATGTTAGAGCAGCAGCCAAATACTCTAAACGCGTGGCGATGTCGTTTCTAAATGTGTAGGGGAAAAACCGGAGGACCCCGTGAAAAAATCCACGTGACCACGGGGAGAGAGAGAGAGAGAGACACGCAAACTCCAAATATACAGCAGCAGCAGGCGTCAGGATCGGGGTCGAACCCACGACCTCCTGTAGACCTGGCGAGGGAGTTAACATCTCGTAGCCACCGTGGCGCGAAAATGAGACGCATCTTATACTTGTGTCCGGTGTCAATAAAGTTATTTAAATGTTGTCTCACACACACGCGCGCACACTAATACGTACAAAAGGTCCCCCCCACAATAACCTTTAACAGGCTGTGGGTGGGGCAAGTGCTGTTCGCGAGCACCTGTGAAGGCAGGAACGGCGCACGACGGGGTGGGTGGCCAGCCCCACGCCCGACCGCCTTTGTCTCCCCCAGTGGCGATGTTTACTCACCGCACCAGGTACTCATGTGAGGCTGAGTCGACCTAGGGGAGGCCCAGGACCGGGAATCGAACTTGGGTGGCCAGGTTCGTAGCTGCAGCGCGCTAACCCCTATACTACCGCTCCCCATACACATAAACACACACACGGACCTAGTGGATAATTATATAACGCACCGACAAATGTTGCTTTAAAACACAGGGATAAAAAGTGCACCTCATGAATGTGGATAAGACGGTTACATAGCACTTTCATTCCTGACAAAACATTTTATGACAATTAATTAAAGTAACAATTCCATTCACCAAGGTCAAGGCTAACGTCGGAGTGACAGCCCAAAGAGAGAGACGCTTCCGAGAGAATAGAACCCTCCACTGTGGAGATGGAGCGACGGATATCAGCCGGTGTACAGATGCCGGAATGGAACGATAACTTTGCCACGACCGTGGAGATGGTGACAGCTTTGGGGGGGGGTGGAGGGGGGGACGACTCCGTCGGGCAGCGGATGGACCGTGGACTGATTGTGGTAGCAAATCCCCCTAGGTGTGACAACTCTCAAAACTCCACACAGATAGATGCAACGCATCCCATTTCTGCACCGCTTGCATCCGGGCCAACCACGTTGTTCCGTGCCTATAACATCTGGAATTGATATGTCCCGAGTCTATCACCGATGTTCCTGAGATGTCCGAAAGTAGAACAATGCTTTGAGTGTGCGCCCTGTCCAACTTGCAACTCCGTAGACTATCTCAGCTCGTTAAACGCTGAGACGGAGAAGATGCGACTCCTTTAGATTCACCGGGGCGCAGCTAAAAAAAAAATCATCGCCCGCCCTGCTGTGAAAGATTGGCCACGAGCCTCCTGCAAAAGGGTCACGGCAGCCGGTGAAGCATTCCCGGGTAAACACGCACAATAACAACAACAATAACGACAACAACAACCATTCCTCTTCGTTTATTTTATTCCTTCATTTCTTGATTCACATCTTCTGTTAAATCTCCCCCCCCCCCCCCTCCAAAAATATATATATATATATCTCCATTACCGCCACCGCGCACAGAGTTGGCGAAATGTTGACTACCTCGCTTGGTGCACAGGAGGTCGTGGGCTCAATCCCGACCCTGTCGCCCGCTACGTGTTAAACTGTATCTTTTGAGTTTGCATGCGTGTGTGTGTCTCTCTCTCCCCGTGGTCGCGTGGATTTTTCTCCAGGTCCTCCGGTTTTTCCCTTCCACATTTATAATTTAATAATCGTCAAGCGTTCAGAGCATTTGGCTGCTATACATTCCCACGTGATGATGATGATGATAAACCCACTTCGCTGAGCTATCATTTGTGATAGCCAGGTCGCTTCTGAACAAGACCTATACAGGTGAACACCTCGTCGGCTCTCGCGACCAATATTATCCATAATCGAGGTGTTTTGGGGTAGATCTCATAAATATAATTGCGTCGTTAAACCCGCCACCACCCGACACAGCCAATTAGTAAGGTTTGTCACGTAAATAAAACATGTCAATTCGTAACTATAGCATTAGACCTCTTTTGCCAGTACCAAAATATAATAATAGGCTTTTCCCCTTTTTTTCTGGCAGAAAAAAAGGGGAAAACCCTATGATTATTAAATTCGTAACTACTTCAGCACACCGGTGTGTTGGAGAGTAAACCCACAACATTTACAATTCGAGTACTCGAATATGTGTTGTTTACGTGACAAACTTTACTCATTGGCTGTGTCCGGTGGTGACGACGGGTTTCACGACACTTTTATATTTCGATTTAAAGCTTTCGTGACTGCAAGGATTCATCTTCTTTGGTTCTTTCGGTAAAGTCACGTAGAATGAGAATAAAATAATAAACTAATCAAATAAAATAACGCAATAAAATTCTCACCTGATGAAGGCCACTTGTGTTGTGGCCGAAACGTCGTGAGAATTTTATTGTGTTATTTTGTTTTATCAATTTATTATTTTATTCTCATTCTACGTGACTTTACCGAAAGAACCAACGAAGACACTTTTATATTTACGCGATCTAACTTTTTTTAACCTCTATTAAATACCGAAACAGTATAACTCAGTGGGCCTTACCTTGTCAAATAAAAATAAAACACGAGTTCAGTTTACTCGTAGTGTATATATATGTTCTCTATCTCAATCAGAGCAGCGTGCAGTCGACCGCTCCGAGCTACTCGTCGTCCCGACAGATTTGCCGTGGCACCGGCCGATCTTTTGCAAGCGGCCTCCTTCCCACAACGCTGTGGGCACCGTGGTTGGCACAGCGGTGTCCCCCGCCCCCCCCCGACCCCCCCCCGACCCCCACCCCAAGCGTTTCTGGTGAGGACAACGATTCATTTGCACCCTGGCTGGCGAGACCTCCTGTGACTGCGCCAATTTCCACCGAATCGCAATGCCCTTTCGCGGACCCACGGAGGCCCTCCCGCGC